CAATAGTCTCTTAGTAGAGTTCCTTGGATCCCCTAAATAAAGAATCGTATCATCTGCAAAGAGGGATAGTTTACTTCTTCCTTCCCAATTTGTATCCCTTTAATTTCTTTTTCTTGTCTGATGGCTCTGGCTAAAACTTCCAGAACTATATTGAATAGCAGTGATGAGAGTGGGCATCCCTGTCTGGTACCAGATCTCAGTGGAAATGCTTCCAACTTTTCCCCATTCAATAGTGTGATAGCTGTGGGTTTTTCATAGATTGCTTTGATTGTATTGAGGAATGTTCCATCTATACCCAATTTGCTTAGAGTTTTCATCATGAACGGGTGTTGTATTTTATCAAATGCTTTCTCTGCATCTATTGAGATAATCATATGGTTTTTCTTCTGCAGTTTGTTAATGTGGTGTATCACATTGATTGATTGCAAACATTGAACCATCCCTGAACACCAGGGATAAATCCCACTTGGTCTGGCTGGATGATTTTTATGTTGTGTTGTTGCATTCTATTGGCCAGAATTTTATTGAGGATTTTTGCATCTATGTTCATCAGGGATATTGGTCTGTAATTTTCTTTCAATGCTGCATCTTTTTCAGGCTTAGGGATTCAGGTGATGCTGGCTTCATAGAAAGAATTTGGGAGGATTCCCTGTTTTTTGATTGTTCTGTATAGTTTGAGAAGAAATGGAGTTAGTTCTTCTTTAAATGTCTGGTAGAATTCAGCAGTGAATCCATCTGGTCCTGGGCTTTTCTTTGATGGGAGGGACTTTATTACTGATTCCATTTCTGTCTCAGTTATGGGTCTGTTTAGGTTTTCTAAGTCTTCTTGGTTCAATTTAGGTAGGTTGTATGTGTCCAGGAATCTATCCATTTCTGATAGATTTCCCTGTTTGCTGGCATACAACTCTTTGTAGTAATTTCTGGTGATTCTTTTTCTTTCTGTGGTGTCTGCTGTTATGTTTCCTTTTTCATCTCTGATTTTATTGATTTGGGTCTTTTCTCTTTTAGTTATTTGGGCCAATGGTGTGTCAATTTTTTTTTTCAAAAAACCAGTTCTTCGTTTGGCTGATCTTCTGTAAATTTTTTTTGAGTTCAATACTGTTGATTTCTTCTCTGATCTTAATTATTTCTCTTCTCCTACTAGTTTTGTGTCGGTTTGCTCCAGTTTTTCTAGGTCTTTGAGATGCATTAAAAGTTCATTTATTTGGTGCCTTTCCAATTTCTTGATGTAGGCACTTATTGCTATAAACTTTCCTCTTAACACTGCTTTTGTTGTATCCCATGTTTTGATATGTTGTGTTGCTATCCTCATTTACTTCCAGAAAGTTTTTGATTTCTCTTTTTATTTCTCTTTTGATTTCTTCTATGACCCAGTGCTCATTCAGGAGCATGTTGTTCAGTCTCCATGTGTTTGTATACACTCTAGGGATTCCTGAGTTGCTAATTTCCAACATCATCCCACTGTGGTCTGAGAGCTGCATGGTATGATTGTAATTCTTTTGAATTTGCGGAGACTTGCTTTATGGCCTAGTATGTGGTCAATCCTAGAGTAGGTCCATGCACTGCTGAGAAGAATGTAAATTCTTTAAGTGTAGGATTGAAAGTTCTGTAGATATCTGTTAGATCCATTTGGGCTATACTGTCGATTAAAGCTGCTGTTTCCTTGTTGATCTTCTGTTTAGGTATCTATTTCTAATTGTGGAGTCTTGAAATCCTCCAGTACTATTGTATTGGAGTCCAAGCCTCCCTTTAAGTTTCTTAACATATCTTTTAAATAAACCGGTGCCCTGTAATTAGGTGCATATACATTTATAATAGTTACATCTTCCTGTTTAATTGATCCTTTATTCATTATATAGTGCGCCTCTTTGTCTCTCTTAACAGTTATTTTGTTAAAGTTTATTTTGTCTGATACTAAGATGGCTATGCCAGCTCTTTTTTCATTTCTGTTGGCATGGAATATTTTTTTCCAACCTTTCACTTTCAGTGTGCATGCATCTTTGTTGGAAACATGTGTTTGTTGTAAGCAGCAAAGATGAGATTTTGTGTTTTTAATCCATTCAGCCAGTCTGTGTCTTTTAACTGGAGAGTTGAGGACATTAAGGTTCAATGTTACTATTGATAAGTAGAGACTTTGCCCTGCCATTTTCCCAAAGATATTTTCTAATATGTGCTTTGAACTTCCTGTGATCTTTTACTGTGAGGTTTTCTTCCTTTACCTTCTTTCATATTGATGGCCGTGTTTCTGTGTTTCTGTGTGTAACCCATGTTTAAGCATCTTTTGCAGGGCTGGACGAGTGGTGACAAATTCAATTTCTGTTTGGTATGAAAAGTCTTTATTTCACCTTCATTCACATATGCGAGTTTTGCAGGATATAATATTCTAGACTGGCAGTTTTCTCTCTTAGTACTTGGGCTATATCTTGCCTCCTAGCCTGTAGGGTTTCTGATGAGAAGTCTTCTGTGAGTCTAATTGGAGATCCACTGGTAGTAATCCGACATTTCTTGCACATTTTAGAATCTTTTCTTTATATTTCACTGTGCTGAGTTTGATTACAACATGTCATGTTGAGGATCTCTTTTGGTCATGTTTATTAGGGGTTCTGTGAACTTCCTGTACTAGGATTTCTCTGTCCTTCTCCAAACCTGGGAAATTTTCTGCTAGTATCTCACTGAAAAGGCCTTCTAATCCTTTCTCCCTCTCCATGCCTTCAGGAACTCCTAGAACCCGAATGTTGGGGTTTTTAATAGTATCCTGTGGATTCCCAACAATATTTTTTAGATTTCTAATGTCTTCTTCTTTTCTTTGGTTTGACTTACACTTCCCTGTTCTCTGTCTTCTAAGTCCAATATTCTCTCTTCTGCTTCACTCATTCTGTTTTTAAGGCTCTCTAATGCATATGTCATATGATCTATTGAGTTCTTCATTTCATTATGATTTCTCTTCAGTATCACAATTTCATATTCTACTAGTTTCTTCATTTCATTTTGACTCCTCCTTAAGATTTCATTTTCATGAGAGAGATTTTCTACCCTCTTCAGTAAGGATTTCTGTAGTTCAAGAGTTTGTTTTTGAGATCTTCTAAATGTTCTTATCATAAATTTTTTGAAATCTGTATCTTGCATTTCTTCTATGTCATCATCTTCATAATCTTGAATTGGAGTGTCTTATTCATTTGGGGCATCATAATATCTTCCTTGTTCTTGTTTCCTCTGTTTCTGCATTTGTTTCTTAGCATTGTGGAGATATTTTTTGGTTTCTTCTTTTTTTCCCCTCGCTGTGTTGGTTTTTCTTGTAATACTGTGACTCTTGATTAAGTGGACTCTGCTTTTGATGGATCCTTAGAGGCTTTTGGTGGGTGTGGCCAGCGAGCTCTGTTCGGTTCTTCAGTGTTAAGAGTGTGCCAAAGGTGACACACCCAGGTTAGGCGAGGGAAATCTCTCTCTCTCTCTCTCTCTCTCTGTCTCTCTCTCTAATTCAGGAGGGAAGTAATTCCACACAGCTGAGTTGAATTGAAGGCAGTCATTGTCTGAGTTTTGACCCCTGTGGGTATAGTATTCATCTGCTCTGTCCGAAGGACCACACAAAGGGTCTGTGCAGTCCTCAGTGTAAGCTCAGATTCCCCTGCAATCTCCCACCGGGTTGCCAAGGTTACCAAGTTTGTGGTGTCTCCCGAGAGTACTCACATCTCAGGCACTCCGTGAGTTCTCTCACACACCCTTAGTTTTTTTTTTTCTTTTTTTCACAGTCTCAGTTCATAAGCTCCACACATTCACTAGGACCTAACCTGTTATTTCTCCCCACCAGAGTCAGGTTTTCTGCTTGGCTGATTTCAGGCGCAGCCCTGAGGTGGCAAAGCTTTTATATGTCCAAAATGGCACCTGCTCTTTGTCTTGCTCACCTTTGTTAGGTGAGTGGAGAGAGAGAATCGTATCCGTACCAGTCCCTTTTATTTATTTTTTCTCTCCTCTAGTTAGCCTGGTGAACTTTCCCCCATGTGGCTTCAAGCCTCGTTCCGTCTAGGCTCTTCCTGCCACTTTCCCGCCAGTGTCTCAGGCTACCAAGGTTTTGCCTCACCTCCCTTTCCAGCGCTGGTGCATAGACTCGGTGGCTGGGGTCCCGAGCTATGGGCGCCTGTGCCCTCCACGTAGGTCCACCGTGTCCCACTAGTTCCGAAATAGTTTCCTTTGCAGTTTTTTCCCCTAACTCTTCCCTGAAACTATAGTATCTCCACTTTTATTAAACTATCTTTTCCCAGACTATCAGTGTGCTCCCTCTCTATGCCGCCATCTTGGATGACTCCTGCATTACATATTTTTATGAAAGCAGAATTATAAAAAATTGTGAAAAGAGTTAGCTCTTGGCTAGAATGGCTAAGAAAAATCTTCTATATAATATAGTTTGAAAATATGTTTGACACTTAACTGAGAAGTGATCCCTGTTAAATATAAGAGTGAGAATAAGAGAGGGAAGAGATGTACAATTTGGGACATGCTCAAGCTGACTTGCCCCAAATGGTAGAGTTAGAAACATACCAGGGAATTCCAATTCAATCCCATCAAGGTGGCATGTACCAATGCCATCTCACTAGTCCAAGTGATCAATTTCTGTTCACAATTGATCATAATGAAATGACTAAGAGTCAAAGGGATAACATAAACAAGACTAGTGTCTGCAAATACTAACCGGTAGCATAAAAAAGGGAGAGGGCGATCCAACATGGGAAGCAAGATACACAGCAGACTCATAGAATGGCAGATGTCCTAAACAGCACTCTGGCCTCAGAATCAGCCCTAACGCATGCGGCTCTGGCTTAAAAGCCCATGAGAGTACTTCAGGCCTGGAAAGCCAAGACACTCTGGCAAAAAAAAAAAAAATTACCTAAATGAAAGATCTCTGCAAGTGAGATCCAAGTGGAAAGAACAGGTCATCAAAGAAGGAGGTACCTTTCTCTAAAGGGAGGAGAGAGCTTCCACTTTGACTACAACCTTGTCTAAATATGATCAGAGTCAGTGTGAAAGAAGCGGCTGTGAGCCACCATAAAAGTAGCCTTAATAAAAAAAAAAAATGGGGCTCCTGAGACAAACAGTTCCAGAGACGGCCTTGGGAAATGGGGAGTAAACCGGTTCACAGAGAAAGCAGTTAGCTACTAACCAGAGATACGGGCAACAGAACATCCTGCTATGTAGATAAGCCCCCTCCCCTGTGCTTGTTCAAGCTTAACAACAACAACAACAAAAAAAGCCGCGAGGCATGTAGGGCACATAGCCACCCCTTTCTGCTCTTCAATGACCCCCTCCCCTTATCCAAGCTTCCGTTTCTCCTCCTCCTCGACGACCTCCTCCCCTTGTAGTTGCCCAATAAACTTACGCCACCCTATGGTATGTTAATTTTGTGGTTTTGCCCCTTAAAAGCTGTGTGAGATAGCTGCTCGGGGCTCCTCTCTCTTTCTCGCTGCTTGCGGCAGCAGAGGGCGCATTTGCGCAAATGAAATAAAATTACCTCCTGTTCTTTTGCATCGTCTGGTCTGGAGTCTGTGTTTCTGGGGTCGTCACAAAAAGGACACCGCTTTTGGGTCCTACATTTGGGGGCTCGTCCGGGATTTGGGGGACCCCAGACTCCCACACTCCATCAGCCTGACGGAGGTAAGTTTGCTTACTTGTGTATAATTGTAATTGTGGTTTGTACTGTTTGTCTTTGTCTGCCAGGGCGACGTGGAATCCATCCTGGGGCGGTTTGTACTGTTTGTCTTTGTCTGCCAGGGTGAGGTGGAATCCGTCCTGGGGCACCTGTACAGGCTCAGTATTGAGAATACTGGACCAGTGGGGGAGACAGACGTGTCCTAAGACCCCTGGTTCAACCCTGGAGGACGCTCCAGTGGTGGTCTGGGAAGGAGGGAAAGAGGGAATTTCCCTTCTTCCAGGGGAGAGCCTGGCCAGACGGCCGCTCCCTTCTGATAGTTTCGGTTTTGTCTCGGTCTGTTGCCGCGCGGCTTGTGATTTGTGTTCTGTGTGTCGCTGTTTTTGCTGTCCTTTATTTCTTACTGTCTCCCCCATCTGTTTTTATTGTTGTGTTTGATTGCTAGATGTATACTTGTATGAAAAATGTGTATTGTATTCTTATGATGTGTTAATTATGTCTACCTCTCAATGCAACTCTAGGGCCAAATGTAAGGACAAATTTTTGGGATGGAGAGGCTTGTACCTAGATTTGGCTCTGGTAACCAAGAAACTTTGCTGCCGAATGACCTTCTCCTGCTCCTTGGGAGCCTGGCCAGCTCCCGGGGAGGGGGATAAAGGAATGTTTTCTGATAAACAGGTGGGCATGCTTCATGTCTCAGCTCTCTGGCCGAGATCCGGGACGGGACGCACTGCTTGCCTAACATCTTGGCAATGAGCCACCCTTGTCCTTGGGGGCTTTAAGGGGGAGCCGGAGCAAGCCTCTGTTGCTGCTGTTTCATCCTGGGGGAACACGCAGTCAAGCTGAATGTTAAATGTGCCCGTGATGATTACTAATGATGTTTAATTCTCAGTATAGATCCTTCTCCGGAGCTGTGTGAAGATTGCCTAGTGATGCCCACAGTATTGTAAATTCTACCAAACCTCCTTTGTAGGCTTTGGGGAGGTGAGGATAAATTTTGTTATCTGCATAGTGATGCATGTGTAAGCAATTAGAAAAAAACAGTACAGGATAAATGTAAATTTGAAAACAGAAAATGCTGCCCTTTAGACTCAAACTGTTAGGTAGTGGTAAAAAAATTATATCAAGCCTCTGTACCACTGCCAGAGACAACTAAGGTTATTCAGTGTTAACAATACAGAATTCCAGGTGGACATGAAAAAATATCTAAAACAGTAAAAAATTATGTTAGTGCTGGAGTGATAATTCCCATAATCACTAAAAAAAAATATCTAATTTGACATGTTAAAAAAAAAAACAGGTAAAACCTGAAAAATGACTGTGGATTACAGGAAATTAAACAAAGTTACTCTCCCATTGACTGCGACAGTCCCAGATACCATCATTTTAATGTAAAAGGTCACAAACATAAAAGCGTGTTCTTGATAAGGAAAGTTAAAAGAAACAAATACTTTTAAATAAAAAAAGGGACATGGTTTGTAAAAATTGTTTATCTTAATGGCTGGTTTATACTGAAATGAAAAAAGGGGGGTGGGAGAAGAGAAAGGTTTGAGCAAGTTACAGAAGGTGTGAAAAAGTTGCAAAATGTTATGAAAAACATAAGTTAAAGCAATAAGTTAAAGTAATCTATTATGTTCTCTTGATGTCTCTGTTAAATTCTAACTGTTTAAAAACAGCTGCAAAAAGAGCAGTGTTAAAATGGAGGGATCCTATCACCAATCAATGGAATGGACCTGATCCAGTACTGGTATGGGACATGGGCTCCTAAGGGATGGGTTTTTCTATGTAACCAACATGCCTTTACATCATTAGCCTCTGATAATTTCCGCAATTGCTCCCTGGGCCGTGTGGCCCCGATGCTAACATCTGTATTTACAGCAGCGGACAGAGTGCGTTGGCGGTGTGCTTTACCTGAAGACTACAATAACAATCATCCTAATAGGAGAGGACACTGCCCTTACCATGGCTGTATCAGTAGTCGTGTTCCTGGACTGGCTTTTGGAAATAATCGTGGACTATGAAGGCTTACATGTTTGGTGACCAAAGCAATCAATCTTACTGCTACTGTGCTATCCAATATAGCCAAAGAATTGGATCAAGTTCACTCAGGAGTGCTTTTAAGCCATGCAGCTAACAATTACTCGCTGTTAAAAAAATCATATAAGTTGTAAATCTGTACCTGGGGGATGTTATTTTAGCATTACTAACAATGTGCCATATATAGAGTCTGTTATTGATAAACTTAAGAGTAAAATGCAACATATGTTTATTACTAACCCACCAACACACTTGGGATGACTGTCAGCAGTTTTTACAGGCCCTCCTGACCACGGAAGAGCGGCAGCGGGTTTTCACAGAAGCCCGCAAAAATGTGCCGGGGGATGACGGCTGCCCCACTCAGCTACCTAACGAGATTGATGAGGTGTTCCCGCTGACTCGACCTAATTGGGATTTCAATACGACAGCGGGTAGGGAGTGACTCCGTCTCTACCGCCAGGTTCTCCTGACAGGGCTCCAAGGGGCAGGAAGGCGCCCCACCAATTTGGCCAAGGTACGTGCGATTGTGCAGGGTAGTGAGGAAACTCCGGCAGGATTTTTAGAAAGGCTAATGGAAGGATACAGAATGTATACTCCCTTTGACCCACAGGCCCCTGACCGGCAGGCCGATGTAATCATGTCCTTCATTGGACAATCGGCCCCGGACATCCGCACAAGGCTACAGAGGCTGGAGGGGTTGCAGGGGTATACACTGCAGGACCTAGTTAAGGAGGCAGAAAAGATTTTCAATAAAAGAGAAACAAAAGAGAAAAGAGAAGAGAGGTTACGCAGAGAACAGGAACGTAGGGAAGACCAGAGAGATTAAAAAAAAAAAAAAGAACAAGGACTTAGTTAAAATCCTGGCCACCGCAGTCACAGGACCAGAGCAGACTAAAGGTAGACAAGATAGGGACCTGGGAGACAAACGGAGGCCACGGTTGGACCGAGACCAGTGCGCATACTGCAAGGAAAAAGGACACTGGGCTAAGGATTGCCCAAACAAAGGACAGTCAAGGCGCCAGCGGAGAGCGATGCCCGTCTTGGCGCTGGAAGACGACGACTAGGTAGGTCAGGGCCAGGCGCCTCCCCCTGAGCCCCGGGTAACTCTAAAAGTGGGAGGCCGGCCAGTCACCTTCCTGGTTGATACGGGAGCCCAACATTCAGTCCTCACAACGGCCGGAGGCCCCCTTAGTTCCAAGACATCATGGGTCCAGGGGGCCACTGGAGGAAAACTGTACAAATGGACTACTGAGCGTAAAGTCGACCTGGCAACAGGGCGGGTCACGCATTCGTTTCTACTAGTGTCGGACTGCCCATACGCCCTGCTGGGAAGGGATCTGCTCTCAAAGGTTGGGGCCCAGATCCATTTCCAAGACAAGGGAGCCACAGTAGTCGGCCCCGCAGGCCAACCCCTCCATGTGTTGACCCTCCAGCCGGAAGACGAACACTGCCTTCACGAGAGCCCCCTATCAGCTCAGCTCCAAGTAACATCTGAATGGCTTACTAAATTCCCCCAGTCTTGGGTGAAAACGGGAGGAGTAGGGCTGGCTATCAGACAGCCCCCAGTGATAGTAAACCTGAAGCCCACGGCCACTCCCATATCAATCCGCCAATACCCTATGGCTGCGGAGGCGAAGGATGGAATTCGACCACACATACAGAGACTGATAAAACTGGGCATATGGAGACCTTGTCGGTCACCTTGGAACACCCCTTTGTTACCAGTCAAAAAGCCTGGCTCTAATGATTACAGGCCAGTGCAAGACCTATGGGAAGTAAACCGTAGGGCTGAGGACATTCACCCCACGGTCCCTAACCCATACAACCTGTTGAGCACCCTGCCCCCGACCCGAACTTGGTATACAGTGCTTGACTTGAAAGATGCCTTCTTTTGCCTAAGACTGAGTCCCCAGAGTCAACCTCTCTTTGCCTTTGAGTGGAAAGACCCGGAGACTGGGTCTTCGGGACAACTAACGTGGACCAGGCTTCCCCAAGGGTTCAAGAACTCCCCTACGCTGTTTGATGAAGCCCTACACCAGGACTTGGTGGACTTCTGGGTAAGCCACCCAGAGTTGACTCTCCTACAATACATGGATGACCTATTGTTAGCTGCAGAGACTGAGCAGGGTTGCACCAGAGGTACGGAGGCCCTACTCTGTAGGCTGGGAGAGCTAGGATACAGGGCTTCCGCGGAAAAGGCCCAACTTTGCACCCAACGCGTGACCTACCTAGGCTACGTATTGGAGGGGGGTCGGAGGTGGCTGACTGAGGAACGGAAAAAGGCTGTAGCGCTCATCCCGCTGCCTAAAAATGCTCATCACCTCAGGGAGTTCTTGGGCAGCGCCAGTCTCTGCCGCCTCTGGATACCGGGTTTTGCAGAGATGGCAGCATCCCTGTACCCCCTAACCAGGACAAATTCCCCGTTCATCTGGGGAAGGGAACAACAATTAGCTTTCGACAGAATAAAACGGGCCCTCTTGGAGGCCCCTGCATTAAGCCTCCCGGACCCCGCTAAGCCCTTTACCCTCTATGTGGATGAAAAAGGGGGAATGGCAAAGGGTGTCTTGACTCAGGATTTGGGGCCCTGGAAAAGACCTGTGGTGTATTTCTCAAAGAAACTGGACAGTGTCGCCTCGGGGTGGCCCCCTTGCCTCCGCATGATTGCGGCTGTGGCCGTCTTGGTGAAAGACTCAGACAAATTGACTTTGGGGCAACTACTCACCATAATGGCACCCCATGCCATCGAGGCCATCATCCGCCAACCGCCAGATAGATGGCTCTCGAACGCCAGGGTCACCCACTACCAGGCCATGCTGCTCAACCCTGAACGGGTCCGGTATGGAACTGCTGCCTCGATCAACCCGGCCACCCTGCTTCCTGGGCCGGGGTCTGAATCACAAGTCGACCACGACTGCCACCAAGTGTTAGCCGAAGTGCACGGGACCCGAGAGGACCTGACCGATCTACCCCTGTCAAACGCAGTCACCTGGTATACGGACAGGAGCAGCTTCTTGCACCAAGGTGAGAGAAAGGCAGGGGTGGCGGTGGTTGATGGGGAAACTGTCATATGGGCCTCTGCTCTGCCCCCAGGGACTTCGGCACATGTCGCTCCCCCTCTTCGTGGAGGAACGACACAGGACCCTGCACTGTTCTTTCGTCTGCTCGGCCCTCCCCGGGTTTGCTGCTGGTTCTTCCCGGGTTGGCTACTATCCCTTCCACCTCCGTGGAAGGGCAGTTCCCCCTGGCCACATTCCCCACTTCTGCAGGGGAGCGGCACACCGCCGGCCGGCTTTCTCGGGGGCTGCACGGGTGTTCCTTCAGCTAGATGTTCCCCATAGATGTTCCTCGTAGATGTTCCTGGTGCATGCCGTCTCTCTCCTCCTTTATAGTCCTCCTCCGCCAATCCCAACTCGGCTGCCCACACGCCGAGTACGCCGCTCTCCAATCAGGAGCAAGTCCTACAGTTTATTAGTTGAACTGGAGGCAGCTGTGCGGAAGCTGTTTACTTCTCTCCCAGCGCCATATTGTGGGAGAGCAGATGCATAGAATAAGTCTTAATTCCAGTAACTTAGTCCAGTCCGGATTGCTCCCCACAGGCACAGAAGGCTGAACTTGTGGCCCTCACCCAAGCACTTCGTGCCGCTGAGAATCGGAGAGTAAATATTTATACAGACAGCCGTTATGCCTTTGCCACAGCGCATATACATGGGGAAATATATCGGAGGAGAGGGTTGCTAACCTCAGGGGGCAAGGACATTAAAAATAAGCAGGAGATCCTAGACCTCCTACAAGCCCTCCACCTTCCTAAGAAAGTGAGCATCATCCACTGCCCAGGTCATCAGAAGGGAGATGACGCAGTGGCCAAGGGGAATAGAATGGCGGATGAGGTAGCTAAAACAAGGGCCCTGGACAGCGTCACTCTAGTAACGCAGTCATCTGAAACCTCAAATAACCCTGGGTGGTCATATTCGGAGCAAGATGTGACAGCTATCCAAAGACTGGGAGGCGCGTACAACGACCAGCGTAAGGTCTGGGAGATCCAGGGAAAAACAGTATTGCCGAGAAAGGAAGCCAAGGACCTCATAAAAGACCTCCATAGATGGACCCAATTGAGACATAAAAAGTTAAAGGCCCTACTGGACAGAGAGGAACTAACCTATTTCATAATAGGACTGGACTCATTAGCAAAACAAGCGACAGAATCCTGTGTTCCTTGTGCAAAAGTAAATCCAAAGTGTATTAAAGTACCAGAGGGAGCAAGGATGCGAGGGGCACGCCCGGGAACGAACTGGGAGGTGGACTTTACCGAGATTCGTCCTGGTAGGTATGGAATTAAGTATCTCCTAGTATTTGTAGACACTTTTTCCGGCTGGACAGAGGCTTTTCCGGTAAAGAAGGAAACAGCGCAGGTGGTGGTCAAGAAAATCTTGAAAGAAATCTTTCCGCAGTTTGGCCTGCCTAAGGTACTGGGATCCGATAATGGGCCGGCCTTTGTCTCCCGGGTAAGTCAGTTGGTGGCCAAGGTACTGGGGATTGATTGGAAATTGCATTGTGCGTACAGACCCCAGAGTTCAGGACAGGTAGAGCGCATAAATAGAACAAAAAAAGGAGACCTTAACCAAATTAATGATGGAGACTGGCGCTAGAGACTGGGTCGAGTTATTACCAATGGCCCTATTCCGGGCCCGCAACATTCCCTCCGCATTCGGGTTAACTCCGTATAAAATATTGTATGGGGGTCCTCCCCCAATAGCTGACTTGTTGGGGCCTAGCATTGACTCTTATGCCACTTCCCCCAGTCTGCAGACCCGACTGAGAGCTCTGCAGCTGATTCAAAAGCACGTGTGGAAACCTCTAGCGGCAGTGTACCAATCCAAGTGCCCTACAGTGCCACACCCGTTCCAGATTGGAGATTCAGTGTACGTCCGCAGACATCAGTCCAGGACCCTCGAGCCGCGTTGGAAGGGACCCTACACGGTGCTGCTGACGACACCCACTGCAGTGAAGGTCGACGGGATTGCCGCCTGGGTTCGCGCTTCCCACGTCAAGAAGGCACTGCCGGAGGGAGAAGGCCCCGCGGACGACTCAGCCAGATGGACACTCCAGCACACTCAAAACCCCCTCAAGATAAGACTTTTAAAAACTGCTTAATGTTTGTAATCATTAGCCTGTCGCCTGTATTGCTTATGACTCACCCTAGTCTCACCCTATCCAGCTCGTCCCTCTCAAACGCCCATGCTCCGCAAAAGCTCACCTGGGAAGTGATCTCCCCTTCGGGTAGCGTGGCCTGGTCAACCAGCGACACTCGGGTCCCAGGGACGTGGTGGCCTTCTCTCCACCCAGACGTATGCCAGATGGTCCTGGGGCTAGATACCTGGGATCTACCCGATCAGGACAGCATCCCTCTGAATCCAACGAGTCTGGTCAGAGACAATCTTCCCTCGGGATGTAGATACCGAAACCGAAAATGCCGACTACGTCATCTTAAATTCTATGTGTGCCCCAAGGATGGTAGAAGGCGGGATCAGATCTTCCGGTGTGGGGGGCCGGAGTCCCTATACTGTAAAAGTTGGGGGTGCGAAACTACAGGGGTAACATACTGGGGGCCTTCCTCTGCGTGGGACTGGATTACTGTACAGCGTAACTTCACTCCTGAGGGAAAAGATCAGTGTTTACAACTCCTCCCGGAAGGCCGTGGGTCCACTTCCCCATGTGCAAGTTCCCCTACGTGCAATCCCCTTAATATTACCTTCACCGCCTCAGGAAAACAATACGCAGCGCTGTCTAGTTGGATAAAAGGGAGAATCTGGGGAATGCGCTATTATGTTCCTGGTGAAGATTTTGGGTTTTGGTTCAAAATTAGACTAAAAATCACCTCTCCCGACCCCCTACTGGTGGGATCTAACAGGGCTCTGGCCCCTGCCTACAGGCCGAGCCACCCCTGGTCTAAGACAACCTAGCAGCCGGCCTCTAAGGGAATAGGCTCACCAACGCCGACCTCTATGAGGACAGGCTCACCGGTTCCCCTTGTAAGTCTACCTGCAGGAGAGAGAACAATGTCGCTAGTACGAGGCGCCTTTTCGGCATTAAATCAGTCTCACCCTAACCCCTGCTGGTTATGCTTGTCCGCAAGCCCGCCCTACTATGAAGGAATAGCTGTAGTTGGGGCCTTCAACACCTCCTCGTCCCACCGACAGTGTCCTGCCGCTAACCCCGTAATAACTTTGACAGAGGTCTCGGGAAGGGGATCCTGTATCGGGGACCCACCCTCGGCCTACCAGCGCCTCTGTAACAGCACCACCAACTCCTCCCGGGTGGACCGGAACTCGTACTTGGTGCCACCCCCCGGAACCTGGTGGGCATGCTCACGCGGCGGCCTCACTCCCTGTGTGTCCACCACTGTTCTCAACATGACCGGGGATTTCTGTGTCCTGGTGGCAATCGTCCCGAAGGTAATTTACCACCCAGAAAACACACTTGAGGAGCAGTACGACAGCGCTATAACTAGGTTCCATAGAGAGCCAGCCTCCGTGACCCTAGCAGCTCTACTGAGCTTTGGGGTGGCAGCCGCTGGGCTGGGCACAGGGACAGCTGCCCTCACCCAGGGAAGCAGCGGGCTGGCAATCCTTCAACAGGCGGTGGACGCGGACATCATGGAAATAAAATAGAACCTCCAACGATTACAAGAGTCCCTCACCTCCCTCTCAGAAGTAGTGCTCCAAAATCGCAGGGGCTTGGACCTGTTGTTCCTAAAAGAAGGAGGGCTATGTGCTGCCCTCAAAGAAAAATGCTGCTTCTATATAGACCACTCCGGAGTAGTAAAAGATTCTCTAGCCAAACTAAGAGAGCGGCTGGAGAAGAGACGACGAGAAAGAGAACAGACTCAGAGCTGGTTTGAGGGATGGTATAACAGGTCGCCCTGGTTGACAACCTTGCTCTCCACCATAGCGGGCCCCCTCATTATCCTGCTTCTAATCCTGACCTTTGGGCCATGCATTATAAACCGATTACTCCAGTTTGTTAGGGATAGGCTGTCCACCGTACAGGCATTAGTCCTCACACAACAGTATCAAGCCCTGGCCACCAGTGACCATATTAAAACCCCTCATTAACGGGCACACAATTTTAGGATTAAAATTAGTTCAAAGAGAAAATGGGGAAATGAAAGAAGCGGCTGTGAGCCACCATAAAAGTAGCCTTAATAAAAAAAAAAAAATGGGGCTCCTGAGACAAACAGTTCCAGAGACGGCCTTGGGAAATGGGGAGTAAACCGGTTCACAGAGAAAGCAGTTAGCTACTAACCAGAGATACGGGCAACAGAACATCCTGCTATGTAGATAAGCCCCCTCCCCTGTGCTTGTTCAAGCTTAACAACAACAACAAAAAAAAAAGCCGCGAGGCATGTAGGGCACATAGCCACCCCTTTCTGCTCTTCAATGACCCCCTCCCCTTATCCAAGCTTCCGTTTCTCCTCCTCCTCGACGACCTCCTCCCCTTGTAGTTGCCCAATAAACTTACGCCACCCTATGGTATGTTAATTTTGTGGTTTTGCCCCTTAAAAGCTGTGTGAGATAGCTGCTCGGGGCTCCTCTCTCTTTCTCGCTGCTTGCGGCAGCAGAGGGCGCATTTGCGCAAATGAAATAAAATTACCTCCTGTTCTTTTGCATCGTCTGGTCTGGAGTCTGTGTTTCTGGGGTCGTCACAAAAAGGACACCGCTTTTGGGGTCCTACAGGTGAACTCAAAAGGCTTCCATAGCCTTGGCAACTCCTGACAAGAGCCTAGGGTGATTACTGACGCCATAAACAAGAGTGTCAATCTGTTAAGTCAACAACAGGAGTCACTGTGCACTTACTCCTCATATAGGATCTCTGTCCTTAATGTGCTGTACATTGAGATTTAATGCTATAACTAGTACTCAAAGAGTATTGTTCACTTTGTGTTTCTATGTGGGTGCAAACTGTTGAAATCTTTACTTAATATATGCTGAACTGATCTTCTGTATATAAAGAGAATTGAAAATGAATCTTGATGTGAATGGAAGGGGAGAGGGAGCGGGAGAGGGGAGGTTTGTGGGTGGGAGGGAAGTTATAGGGGGGGAAGCCATTGTAATCCATAAGCTGTATTTTGGAAATTTATATTCATTAAATAAAAGAAAAAAAACTTCATTGTGGGTGATAGAACAATTTGGCATGCGAAGAACAAAAAAAAATAAAATATGTTTGACAAATGTTTCAGTTATCTGATAGTGTTTCAGTGTCAATCAGGTCTTTGAAGTATGAACTGTTGGGGCCTGCGCTGTGGCACAGTAGGTTAATCCTCAGCCTACAATGCTACAATTTCTCATTGATTTTAGGACCATCTTCTCCATCTGCATTTGGGGTGTGAGAAAGTTTTGGATATCTGTTTCCATGTGATGTCCTTACAAATAAAAAAGTTATTGAATGACATCAGCAAGATGGCAGAATAAAAGGCTTCCAACTTTCCTTCCTCCCAGAGTTGCACCAAATAAGCATCTAGACATAAATCTTTTCCCTCTGTGAGGAATACAGGAAATGGTTGATAGGCTGCTATTTACCAGAAAACTGAGAAAAGTATCCACACTCAAATGGCTAGAATAACGGTTGACACAATGTCTCCACATACCCCACCCAGATCACAGTTCCTCACAATGAGGAGGGAATCCCCAACTCCCAGCTTCTTCTTACAGATTAAGAGGCTCAGTCTAGATGTATAGCTTCCTCTATATTTCTACTACTTCTGCTCTTCCTACCTGAGGTCTGGACACCTACATCGCCTAGCTCTCGGGAGTGGAAATCTTTTGCACTTTGTGATTTCCCTGGGACTACAGAGAAAAAAGGAGGCGGTTTTAAACAGGCATGGGAGCACATCCCCCAGAACTCAGTGCACTGAAGCAGGCAAAATGCCCAGCTTCCTGTTTGTCACTGGAAGACATTTGCCCACAGGCTTTCTGAAATGCTGCCTAAGGATTGGGCTTCTAGCTAGTGTGCATCTGGGAGACTATGGGGCAGATAAACAACAGACATGTGGGAGTCTGAATAGGCATGTGGGTACTTCCTGCACCTTATTCACTCACCACAGGTCTAGTGATTAACCCAGGTCTCCAACTTCTGCCTGGAAGGAGTCTGTCCATATATGCAGCACTCCAACTCTTAGTGCTTCCAGCCGACAGACTGGCTCCTCAATCTCCTAGCTCTGGTTGTGGACAAAGTTCTGTTTTCCCTAGTTACATTCTCTGGACCACAGAGAATGGAATATCACTAACAGATATATGGAAAAACTAATTGCAGTGTGTTGTGTGTGTGTGTGATGGGATACGTGTGTATCTTAGATATTATATTGCTGACCCTCACAAAGGAGATCCTATGATTTGTGACACATGAATGACCCTGACAAACAACATGCTAAGTAAAATAAACTTAATGCAGAAATAAAAATACTGCATGATCTCACTGATATGTGGAATTTAAAATAATTTAATACATAGAAGCAAAGAAGAACATTGATTATTAGAAGTCACAATGGGGAACGGGGAATGGGGAATGGGATGGGATGGGGAATGTTCATTTCAAGGTAATAATCTGCAAGTTAAATCAATGTAGAGATTTAATGTATAATATGTACACTAGTTGATGGAATATTTTAACTTAAGTTTACTGAAAGAATAGACTTTCAGTGCTATTACCACAAAGAGTTTCATGGATGGTAAATCTAAGCATATGATGAAATTAATATACTAATTTTCTAGACTAATGTTAATGACAAAATAAAAATTATAAGCTGATATCTTGGATGAATACAGACTCAAAAATTGCAAACAAAATACTAGCCAATTGAATTCAACAACACGTAAAAAAAATCATTGGTCATGACCAAGTCAAATTTATCCCAAGAATGCAGTAAGGGTTCACTGATTACAGAATAGTAAGCATAATACATCACATCAATAGAGTGAAAGATAAAAAAATCATATGATTATCTTAAAAGACAGAAAAATGTGATAAAATTCAGCATCCATTCACTATAAAAATCTTGATCTAATTAGTGAAATTAGTTGAAAATACTTCAACATAATAAAGGTTATACATAGTAAACAAAAAGACTACATTGTATTGAATGGAAAAAAGTTGAAAGTGTTCACTCTAAGACCTGGAACCAGACAAGCATCCACTCTCACTACTGTAATTCAATTTTTGATGCTGGAAGATTTACCCAGAACCATTAGGTAAAACAAAGAAATTAAATACAGATATGAAAAGAACAAACCAGATTATTCCTCTTTACATATATCATGATTCTTGTGCAGAGTGAAACAAAAGACTTTCCCTAGAAACTATTAGAACTGATAAATAAATGTATTAAAGCAGTAGATTAAACAATCAACACACATTTTTATATGTTTTGAAAATATTTGTGCAATAATAAATTTCCTTTCAATTACACAATATATTCAATATATATTTGCCTCTTTTGTACATTCCATGTTTGAATGTTTTTATTTTCTTGAAGATTGTGTAAGCTATTAGATATTTTGAGTTAATTTTTAAAAAGATGAATATTTTTAATGCTTTAGCTGAATTACTTCACATTTTATCAATAAGTCATGTCTGTCTTTTGTTATCTATTTCCATTTCCCTTCAATTCACTTGGTTTTATTATTCTTATTAGGATGTTCATGTTTTAACACCTGTTTATTTAATACTCTTATAACATAAACATTTAAAGAGCAAGATCTTTCTAAAATTGAATTTTAGTCATGATTAATAGACTCTTGAATGTAGCCCTAAAATTGCCCTTTCATGTAAGTACTCCCACACAATTTTTCACCATGGTAGAAGTAAAGTATTTAGAATATCAATACAAGATAACTTAATCCCTAAATATCAAGGGCTTACTTGTGTTTATTTCTTTTTGTTTTCTTAATTCACTTTTTAGTAGTAGTAGAAGTAGTATTAATAGAGAAAGAGATAGAGACAGAGAGAGACTGTACTCTCATCTTCTGTTTCACTCCCCAAATGCCTGCAAAAAGTTAGGCCAAACTTGAGAGCTGGGAATTAAATTCAGATTTTCCATTTGGGTTGCAGAGAATCGGCTATTTGAGTCATCACACACGACTTTCCAGGGTGTGCATTAGCAGGAAACTAGAATCAGGAGCAGAAGAGAGACTCAAACTCAGGTACTCTGATATTGGATTTGGATGTCTTAACTGGTATGCTGATCACCTGTACCCTTTTAAATTAAGAAACTGTGTAATTAAAGGTCATCAGTTTGGAAAATACATATGTAAATACATTTAAACTGATCACTTAAGGTTGTACTATGTCATGGTCTTTGTATTTCAAATTGTATCAACTTTTGTCTCAAGGCAGAAACTTGTAATATGTAACATCTGATGTATTAGCAGTCACTCATGCAGTGTCTACGGTGTTGTTAGAACTATCACTGAAGTTTGACAGTGGGGCAGAGCTTTTTCTCAGTGTAGGCATCTTACACTCACTTACCTTCAATATCCATGACTTATAAGCTCATTCTCTCTCCTTCTTTCTCTGCTTGAAAAACAAACAAACAAACAAACAAACAAAACAAAACAAAACAAAACAAAAACACAAGATGATTCCTTGCCATTTTATTATTGAGTCATTCCAGGCTTCATTGGAAGTAGGACTTAAAATGCAATTATATGGATTCAAAATGATGATATAGAAAGACCTAGCATCCCTTGCCTCCTCCACTGAGAAATTCCAAAGCAGATACATCTCAAGGTGGGTTCCTGAGATAGAGCTCCTCAATGTAATAAGAGAATAGTGGGAACAGTAGTGTTCCAAGATCAGACATGACAGCATAGGAAGAGGAACAAAGCCAAACATACAGCAAAGCTCCAAAGCCAGGGATATTCCCTGTTTCAGGGAAAAGAGTGAGCAGTCGAGCCTCAGCAGAACCCATCTACACTGATCTCTTGTGCAGAAGATCCTTGTAAAGAGGAATCCAGTCACCACAGACCAGCTGTCCAGTAAGGAGAGCTCCCTGAAAAACTCAGGGCACCTTTTGCTTCAAAGAGTCAACTGGCTCTTTCTCCACCCTCAACCCTCAGAGCAGAGGCTGGGGAGCCATCTTGACAAGTCACTTTCACAAACCATAGGACACTATTTTTTTTTTTGACAGACAGAAGTGGACAGTGAGAGAGAGAGAGAGAGACCGAGAGAAAGGTCTTCCTTTTCCGTTGGTTCACCCCTCAATGGCCGCTGCAGCTGGCGCACTGCGGCTGGTGCACCGCGCTGATCCGAAGCCACGAGCCAGGTGCTTCCCCTGGTCTCCCATGAGGGTGCAGGGCCCAAGCACTTGGGCCATCCTCCACTGCACTCCCGGGCCACAGCAGAGAGCTGGACTGGAAGAGGAGCAACCAGGACAGAATCCGGGGCCCCGACCGAGACTAGAACCTGGTGTGCCGGTACCCCAGGTGGAGGATTAGCCTATTGAGCTGCGGCACCAGCCATATGACACTATTAATATGGGGGAACTAGGCGAGAAGATTAGGTAGGATTAGGTAAGCCAGAATATGTTCCTAATAACTTCTGCATTGCCCTGCATTGCAACGTTACCCCTTAGCTGCCATTCCAGTACACCCATTTTCCCACGATGCATTTG